CCTCTGTCCATTGTTCTTGCATAGGAACAGCATTTATTGAAAACAAGCTCCTAACACAACATTTTACTCAGATCAATCTATAACATTTTATATTTACTACGACAAATCCCCCTCTTCACGTCTACTAGACGTGATCCATTAATTATGTTGGCATTAAGCATAGTTGAAACAGTCTTAAAAGAAAAACAATAATGTAGGAAAGAAAACAAAACATGATAACGCATAATGCAATGGTAAAAAACATTCAACCCCTCTAGCATACTAATTATATGGCCAGTTAATTAAACAATGTTAGTCCCCCTCTAGTGAGTGACTACAACAATCAGAGTTAATTTTCGAAATCGCTAACCTCCAATTGTCGCTGTTCAGGTTTGTAATAATGACAAGCCCATCCACCCCCAGGGACAACACCATACAGACATTCAGGATTCCCAAAAGGACAATCAAGAGGTCCATCTTTAACATTACATAAGGGAGGACAGTCACCTTCAAAATCGTCCAGTTCCAAATCATTATTTCCCAAAAGCGGATACATCTGGGCTTGGTCATTGTGAATTGGTTCAATAGCAGTGGTTATTATACGGTTAATCAAAGTGCGGGCACAGGGAATACAACAACATCCACACAATGTAAGAATTGATAGAAAAACAGCAATAGAAATCAATACAGATGAAATAAGGGTTTTATATTTACCAAAAACATCCATCCAGGAATCCCACATAGAGGTATCAACCCCAGAATGATCTTTCATTTTACCATTAAGAGTCCTCAAACCTTCTAGAGCAATTGTCAAACTTCCATCTGCAGCAGTATTATTAGGAATAAAAGTACAACACTGTTCCCCGAACATGGCACACACTCCCCCTCTTTCAGCAAGTAACATATCAACAGCAATTCTATTCTGAAAAGCCATTAATGAAGTTGCAGCTAGTTGTCCATGAACAGCCTCAAAACCTTGTTGAGTCCAGTTCTCTATTTTCTGGACATTAATATATGTAGTTAATTCTATCGACGTTTTTATTAATGGTACAACAGTCAGCACCCAAAAGACACCATTCCACTGTACTCCATGTACCCATGTTCAAGGACAGTTTCACAGACAACAAAGAGAGAGTGTTCTTATCAGCCTGTTATGTGAAACAATCCATATCAGTACAGTGCTCCTCATTAATGCATTCCTTCCAAGCTATTCATCACATACAGATCCAATTAAAAATAAAACCCAACAATTTTATGGTGTCACTCTAAACAGAGTATAATCACCCTTAAGAATAACAGGATATGGAAATTAAATCACAACATTTAATGTTAATAAAAAATAATAATTTTAACCGTCTATTCCTCCCCTACACCTAACATGTACTGAGTTGGCTACCAGCCACCCAGGAATCCTTTACCTTCACATCAGGAAGAATAAACAATCACAGTGGTTAGTAAAAACAGAAGGTAATAAATGAGCAAGAAGTGAAAATAAATGCGTGTATGTATTTTACTAGGCAAAACATGGATCATCCAGCTTGGTCTCAGAGTCAGTAGCAGAGTCACCTGCATCATCCTGGGCCGGTAACAACAGCATCATACCTGACGCCTGCACCACTCCTACCACTGACCTCCTGAGACAGGGGACGATGCAAGCAGCACAACACATTAACAGCAAAAACACAATTACTAGGGTCAGAAATCCAGTAACCACCATAGAAGAGTACTCACCAAACCAGTCACTCAGCCAGGAAATAAGGCAACATCCACAAAGAACAAGTATACCCATAGAAGCTATAACTTCACCCAGAATTGTCACAACAATAGTTTTCCATTTACCAAATATGTTATCAAACCAACCGTTTATGGAGCTATCAATACCAGAGTTCTTAACCAGTTCGTTCGCCAGCGTGGTGATGGTCACTCAATATATCCAAACAGAACACAAACCCCGTCCCGCTCAGCCAAAAGCATATCTAAAGCTATTCTATTCTGCCATGTCATTAAGCTAGTTGCCGCTGTCTGCTCAGCTAATCCCTTTATTGCATCACGAGTGTGGTTTATAAATATTTTGCTGGTTATATTAAATATAATTTATCCAATCTACATTTTTATTAATTGTTTGACCACCAGAAAATACTTGATTCAAACCCAGCTGCGATCTGATTGTGGATCCCATCAATATATATCCTTTCATCAAAGGATCCCGGGAGGAGGTCCTACTTTCTATGTGACAACTCACCAGTCTCTGACACGTTTGATTGTTTGCGTATGTAGGTGAGTTCACAATCAGTTATCACCACACATCCATCAGATGTCAGCACGGGTCTGGTTTTTGGCTCCTAAAATCCTCTGGCTGCAACAAAGAGGAGAGATTAGTCATGGTCTCTTTAGGTGTGACATTCTCTGTGTGGGAGCAGGAGCTAAAAGGCCCTACCCTGTATCCTATCCTTACTAGTCCTAGAAAAACAATTAGAATCCCCTGTGACTTCAAACTGAGGCAACCCAGGTCGGGATTACTTTGTTATCGGGGGAAACAGATAGTGCAAGTTACCATAAGACTCTTCCACCACATTCCCAGGTGGCTTGCATGGAGGATAAACCTGACAGAGAGTCAAAGCCTGTCAAGGGGAACGGAGTAGTTGTTAACCTTGGTTTGGCTGTCCTACAGGCAAAACAGTCCTCTTTAGACATTGTTTTTGCCGTATACTGAATCCATTCCAACCACAGGTTAAGATTTCTATACCCCGTTTCCACCTGTACTACTTCCTTCAGGTCTATAGTTTTGCACTATCTTTACCACAGCCCCGGTCTCACTACCTCCCTCAGAGAGGTTTACTCTATAGGGTGCCCCAGTTGAAGAGGATATCTCACTTGTCAGGTCTGTAACCTGTTTTAGCATAATTCAGACTTTCAGACAGTACCTACCCTCATATGGGTCGCACTGCCATTTTCTGATAATTCCCTACTTTCACAACCCTAAACTGTGTATGGAGATTGGTGATGTCCTTCCCTAAAGTCCCTAGTATTTCCCCTTTCCCTACGTCTAGCTGTCTCCTATGCCTTTTCAACTTGTGTTAGGTTAACTACCACTTCTGGCTGAAACAGGAGGGTCCGTGTGTGTTAGGAATATGGCCCCCACAATCAGACAGCTACCTACCGTCGGGAGACCTGTGAATCCCCACCCTTGCCCTGAGAACATGTCAGATGCCAGAGGCCAACCCATTGCTTTACCTTCTATCGAACTCACACAGGGATGATCAGACAGGGTAAGGGAATCTTCGTTAAGGAGGCAACCCCCGAACCCTAGTGGTGATCGGATCTTTCTCCTAACTCTGTGTTTGTTCGTCAGGTGTAGCTGTTTTTTTTTTTTTTTTTTTACAGTGTGTGACATGCACCCAGATGGATCTCTCAGCTATTCTGCTGGCAAAGGCAGTACTTGGTAGGGCCCTTCCCGCCAGGCCTGCTTCAGTCTCCTGGTTAGATAGAGTGGGTCACCTTCTCCTTTAGTTCACCTGTGGGGCACAAAACCTCTGACATACAGGTGTGGTTAATAAACTATCATACATGTTTTTCTGTTTTTTTTATTTTTAAGTATTTTGTCCTCTCCTTCGTATATATTTAATATTTAATCCATCCATCCCCCTTTTTGACACATGATTTGGCCATGTGTCAATATTACCACCTACCTAAACAATCACTTTGGTAATATTGGTAATTCATTATCCAATTGCCATTCCTCCACTCTTTCTTCTGTTATTTTATGGTTCAAATCAAATATACTATTACCAAACTATAATCTTCTTCACAATTTGCACAGTATTACAAATTACCCTCAACTTAGTAAAATAAATTATCTTAAAGTCCTCCTCTCATGCCTTTAGAATTTACTAGTGTGGATGATTAATTAACCCCAGAATGTTAAAACAGAGTTCAGATGCAATTGAAATCATCTAACGAACTGTTTATTCCCATAGTATACTAAACATTACCATTATTCTAAATATTTCATAAATGTTAGTTATCCCAAGTGTTCATTAAGTCCTCATGACATTCATTCTCATAAGAAATCATATATACCCCAAACTCAGCCAAAAGCTAAAAAACTCCATAAAATTCACAAAGACATTAACAAATACTTTATCAAAAGACGTTATATCATTATGTAAATAAGGCATTTCTGTTTATTAGGTTTAATATATTTGCAAACATAAAAAAAAGGTTTTGCTTTGTCATTATGGGGTATTGTGTGTAGATTGATGAGGATTTTTATTTATTTAATCATTTTTAGAATAAGGCTGTAACGTAACAAAATGTGGAAAAAGTCAAGCGGTCTGAATACTTTCCGAATGCACTGTATAACATGACACATGTTTCTGGTATGTTCGATTGAATTGTGGGACTGTCTTTTACGGCTTGCAGGATCCATCTGGAGAGACCAGAGTCACCAGCCCCCAGTTATCTATCCATGAAGAGTTATCTATGGCTAACCCTTCTGTATTCAAGGAGGGAGACTTAACTAAAGAAGAGGAGTAAGATAATACATTTTATTTATGTTATTTTATCCAATTTGATGTCACTAATAAGTTGTTTACTTTTGATCGTTGTAGTATATTATATTTGATTATGTGCAGTGGAGAATAGCAGAGTAATCAGTCATTTTGTCACTAACTTATTCAAGTCTATTCTATTCCTATATTTATTCAAGAAAATGTGTTGTGCATTGTAACCGCCACTAGAGGTCCTCACTCGCCTAGTTATGAGGTGACTTGTGTAGGCTAGGTAAGCAAGTCACCCTGCCCCACAAATTAATAGTTTAATGTTCTCGGAGTGTGTATATAACATTTTAAACGTCTGCTAGCATACAAAGTTGACGTATAGCCACAGATAAAACAATGAGCCAGATGTTTCACCGGATGTATAAATGTAAAGCATGCGGTTGGCGTTTCCAATCACTACCAAATTTGGAGAGAGCAGCGTGACCAACCCCGAGTTGTCTATCAATAAAGAGCGACCAATCAATGGTTGTCCATATTATTAAGGAGGAGGCCTCTACTCAAAAAGAGAAGTGAGATTATATCTTCCTTTGATGAATCTAGTAAACAATTAATGTCAGAATATTGCAATATACTTGACAACAATTGTAAGGATGTATGACAGAGACAAAGAGGGCCTAAACTTGTGATGCCTGTAAGGAAAGAATTAGGGCTGGAAATGGAAATGAAAAAATGTTCAATAAATCTAACAACATAATGTAGTGTAAAGAAAAAAAAAAAAAAAAAAAAAATAAATATATATTGTGCTGTCTTCCACTTAGCATCAGGACAGGAGAGGTGGTCTGTGATGTCTGTGAGGTCAAAGCTGTGAAGTCCTGTCTGACCTGCAACCTGTGCTACTGTGAGACCCACGTTAAGAAGCACTACACAGCACTTAAACTACAGAGACACACCCTGGTGGAGGTGACTGGAGACCTGGAGGAGAGACTCTGTCAGGAGCACCACAGAGCTCTGGAGGTGTTCTGCAGGACAGACCAGAAGCTGATCTGCAGTCTGTGTGTAGTAACAGAACACAAAGGACATGATGTAGTCTATGGAGAGAGAAAACAAGCAGGAAGACAGGTATAGTTTATGCTTTCTTCTCCCCTTTATCAGAAAACATGCTGACTTTCCTCTGTTGTCATCATTGTCCAATACAAAGTAGTACACATTTTTTGCATCCAACTATACAAAATGTTTGTTTCTCCATAAAATCCCACTTGTTCTGAAAACTATTTCATATTGATGATGTCATGGAAGACATGTTGCTCCTTCGTGATCCTCACATTTTTTTTCTTCTGTTGTCCTTTTTGATATAAAAGACTCAAGGTGAAGAGCAACATCAAAACCAGGTTTTAAATGAAGGTATGTGTTCAGACTTTTAATGCTCAATTCACTGGTACTTTCTCCCCTGTGTTAATGGGTTGAAACAAAACATACAGGCTGTATATATTTTACATGCTACTGTTCTTTAACCATTTCAGCTACAAACATTAAAACAATTAAACATTTAAAAAAACGTTATAAATTGTAACTATTTAAATTAGCATGATATAGCATAAAAGAGGCCACCAACATTAATAGTAACTCTTGAACCAAACTAGATTAACAAAAACCAACTTTCAGATGTTCAGGCTATCCTATCCTATCAACCATTTAAGAATTCAAGACAAGCTAAGAAGTGCATACATTTGGTTTAGGACATGTACTTTTCTAGTTATTATTATCCGCTGCCACCTGTAGCGCCAAAACCTTAAAAGCCAAAACACCAAAACAACTTTAAAATGTGCAGAATTACTCACAATCGATTGCTTAAATACACCTTTTTGATACTATGTATACTTTTGGAACTATAACTGTTTTACATTTGCATCAAAGCTCCATAGACTTCAATGGGATATATTTAAATGTTTAGTTTGTAGTCAAATAACCTAGTGGCCTAATGGGTGGACTGTTATTAATATTTTACATAATATTATAATTAATCAACATTATTTCATAAAACCCACCGAAAATCCGGTGTTTCTAGGTCAAACGGTTTTGTTAGACAGTACCAGTCAAAAGTTTGGACACACCTACTCTTTCAAGGGTTTTAATTTATTTTTCACTATTTTCTACATTGTAGAATAATAGTGAAGACATCAAAAGTATGAAATAACAGATATGGAGGCTGTGTAAGGGCTATTTCACCAAGAAGGAGCATGATGGAGTGCTGCATCAGATGACCTGGTCTTCACAATCCCCCGACCTCAACCCATTTGAGATGGTTTGGGATGAGTTGGACTGCAGAGTGAAGGAAAAGCAGTGCTCAGAATACATTGGGGGAAAAAAGTATTTAGTCAGACAACAATTGTGCAAGTTCTCCCTCTTAAAAAGATGAGAGAGGCCTGTAATTTTCATCATAGGTACATGTCAACTATGACAGACAAAATGAGAATTTTTTTTCTCCAGAAAATCACATTGTAGGATTTTTAATGAATTTATTTGCAAATTATGGTGGAAAATAAGTATTTGGTCACCTACAAACAAGCAAGATTTCTGGCTCTCACAGACCTGTAACTTCTTCTTTAAGAGGCTCCTCTGTCCTCCACTCGTTACCTGTATTAATGGCACCTGTTTGAACTTGTTATCAGTATAAAAGACACCTGTCCACAACCTCAAACAGTCACACTCCAAACTCCACTATGGCCAAGACCAAAGAGCTGTCAAAGGACACCAGAAACAAAATTGTAGACCTGCACCAGGCTGGGAAGACTGAATCTGCAATAGGTAAGCAGCTTGGTTTGAAGAAATCAACTGTGGGAGCAATTATTAGGAAATGGAAGACATACAAGACCACTGATAATTTCCCTTGATCTGGGGCTCCACGCAATATCTCACCCTGTGGGGTCAAAATGATCACAAGAACGGTGAGCAAAAATCCCAGAACCACACGGGGGGACCTAGTGAATGACCTGCAGAGAGCTGGGACCAAAGTAACAAAGCCTACCATCAGTAACACACTACGCCGCCAGGGACTCAAATCCTGCAGTGCCAGACGTGTCCCCCTGCTTAAGCCAGTACATGTCCAGGCCCGTCTGAAGTTTGCTAGAGTGCATTTGGATGATCCAGAAGAGGATTGGGAGAATGTAATATGGAGGACAAAGAATGCTGAGTTGCATCCAAAGAACACCATACCTACTGTGTAGCATGGGCGTGTAAACATCATGCTTTTGGGCTGTTTTTCTGCAAAGGGACCAGGACGACTGATCCGTGTAAAGGAAAGAATGAATGGGGCCATGTATTGTGAGATTTTGAGTGAAAACCTCCTTCCATCAGCAAGGGCATTGAAGACGAAACGTGGCTGGGTCTTTCAGCATGACAATGATCCCAAACACACCGCCCGGGCAACGAAGGAGTGGCTTCGTAAGAAGCATTTCAAGGTCCTGGAGTGGCCTAGCCAGTCTCCAGATCTCAACCCCATAGAAAATCTTTGGAGGGAGTTGAAAGTCCGTGTTGCCCAGCGACAGCCCCAAAACAGCACTGCTCTAGAGGAGATCTGCATGGAGGAATGGGCCAAAATAACAGCAACAGTGTGTGAAAACCTTGTGAAGACTTACAGAAAATGTTTGACCTGTGTCATTGCCAGCAAAGGGTATATAACAAAGTATTGAGAAACTTTTGTTATTGACCAAATACTTATTTTCCACCATAATTTGCAAATAAATTCATAAAAAATCCTACAATGTGATTTTCTGGAAAAACATTTCTCATGTTGTCTGTCATAGTTGACGTGTACCTATGATGAATATTACAGGCCTCTCTCATCTTTTTAAGTGGGAGAACTTGCACAATTGGTGGCTGACTAAATACTTTTCCCCCCCACTGTATGTGGGAACTCCTTCAAGACTGTTAGAAAAGCATTCCAGGTGAAGCTGGTTGAAAAAGTGCCAAGAATTTTCAAAGCTGTCATCAAGGCAAAGGGTGGCTATTTGAAGAATCTCAAATATAAAATATACTTTGATTTGTTTAACACTTTTTTTGGTTACTACATGATTCCATATGTGTTATTTCATACTTTTGACATCTTCACTATTATTATACAATGTAGAAAATAGTAAAAATAAAGAAAAACCCTGGATTGAGTAGGTGAGTAGGTGTGTCCAAACTTTTGACTTGTACTGTATATATTATATTTACGGTATATATATTTTATAATGCCATCTTTGTATCTCAAGCATTGTAATGTGGTTAACCTTAAAAATATAAATGAAAATTATTCAAATCTAAAAGATCAAATTCAACCAGAGAGCCCTTTGTGGGAAAAAGGCTGCACTTCAATCCCACAGTGAATGACTAGGCCCTCTACACTATGACACCACACACTACTGCAGAGTTTGATATTACCGGACGCAATTGATATGGTGGAAACATACTATATGGTAAGGGGAGGCAGAGGCACAGAAACTCACATCAATACCTTTGTCAGATAACACTGTGAAACAAATAATTTATGCTATATCTAGCAATCAAGAGGAAACTCTGACTGAACGACTCAAAAACTCCCCAGCTTACATTGGCTTGTGAAAGTATTCACCCCCCTTGGCATTTTTCCTGTTTTGTTGCAATCTGGAATTAAAATAGATTTTTGGGTTGTTTGTATCATTTGATTTACACAACATGCCTACCACTTTGAAGATGCAAAATATTTTTTATTGTGAAACAAATAAGAAATAAGACAAAAAACAGAACTTGAGCATGCATAACTATTCACCCCCCCCAAAGTAAATACTTTGTAGAGCCACCTTTTGCAGCAATTACAGCTGTAAGTCTCTTGGGGTATGTCTCTATAAGCTTGGCACATCTAGCCACTGGGATTTTTGCCCATTCTTCAATGCAAAACTGCTCCAGCTCCTTCAAGTTGGATGGGTTCCGCTGGTGTACAGCAATCTTTAAGTCATACCACAGATTCTCAATTGGATTGAGGTCTGGGCTTTGACTAGGCCATTCCAAGACATTTAAATGTTTCCCCTTAAACCACTCAAGTGTTGCTTTAGAAGTATGCTTAGGGTCATTGTCCTGCTGGATGGTGAACCACCGTGCCAGTCTCAAATCTCTGGAAGACTGAAACAGGTTTTCCTCAAGAATTTCCCTGTATTTAGCACCATCCATCATTCCTTCAATTCTGACCAGTTTCCCAGTCCATGCCTATGAAAAACATCCCCACAGCATGATGCTGGCATCACCATGATTCACTGTGGGGATGGTGTTCTCGGGGTGATGACGTGTTGGGTTTGCGCCAGACATAGTGTTTTCCTTGATGTCTAAAAAGCTCAATTTTAGTCTCATCTGACCAGAGTACCTTCTTCCATATGTTTGGGGAGTCTCCCACATGCCTTTTTGCGAACACCAAACGTGCTTTTTCTTAAAGCAATGGCTTTTTTCTGGCCACTCTTCCGTAAAGCCCAGCTCTGTGGAGTGTACGGCTTAAAGTGGTCCTATGAACAGATACTCCAATCTCCGCTGTGGAGCTTTGCAGCTCCTTCAGGGTTATCTTTGGTCTCTTTGTTGCCTCTCTGATTAATGCCCTCCTTGCCCGGTCCGTGAGTTTTGGTGGGCGGCCCTCTCTTGGCAGGTTTCTAGCGTTGCCATATTCTTTCCATTTTTTAATAATGGATTTAAAGGTGCTCCGTGGGATGTTCAAAGTTTCTGGTATTTTTTTTATAACCCAACCCTGATCTGTAATTCTCCACAACTTTGTCCCTGACCTGTTTGGAGAGCTCCTTGGTGTTCATGGTACCGCTTGCTTGGTGGTCTTGCAGACTTTGGGGCCTTTCAGAACAGGTGTGTGTATATATACTGAAATCAAGTGACAGATCATTGCACACAGGTGGACCTAATTTAACTAAATATGTGACTTCTGAAGGTAATTGGTTGCACCAGATCTTATTTAGCGGCTTCATAGCAAAGGGGGTGAAAGCTTATGCACGCACCACTTTTCCGTTATTTATTTTTTAGAATTGTTTGAAACAAGTAATTTTTTTCATTTCACTTCACCGATTTGGGCTATTTCAATACATGAAATCCAAATAAAAATCTATTTAGATTACAGGTTGTAATGCAACAAAATAGTAAAAACACCAAGGGGGGTGAATACTTTTGCAGAATGTTTTGCAATTGACTGCGACAGACTCAAATAAAAAAGTAAGCATTAATGAACTATATTTTTGTTAATGGTTGATATAAATAATTACATTGAATATGTGTTGTACTTACCTGCAGTATAGTATGATTACTATTCATGTGTGCATGGTTCAGAGCATATGAGCGGAGTGGAGCGGGAGCGAGCGTGGAGCGTGAGCGGACGGATTTTGAACAGAGCGCAGAGCGGCATTTTTAAAAGGACGGAGCGTCGCCCTATGTCCCGCTCCAATTTCGCTCGCTCACACCACGAGTCTGAAGCATGCTCAAGCCTGACCCAGAATCCATCTGTTTAATTTAATTTGTGTCGTCCATGAATTTGTATTTTATAGAGTGAGAGGAGCAGCAGCAGCAACAAGAGAAAAGGGTTGAGGAATTCAAAAGTTTATTCACTGCACGCAAAGGCCCAACCATAACAAGGGAGAGAAAAAGAGAGCTGGATGTAGCATTTTTAAAAATGATTTTCATGGACTATGAACCGCTGAGTAAAGGAGAACGCGAAGGGATGCAACACTTCGCCAGCGCAGCTCAACCGGGCTACACCCCCCCAAGAAACTATGATAAATCAGTACTTTACTTTGTCAAATTTACACCTGAGATGCCCCATTCACATGCTTCAGCTGGCGATCAAAAACGCCTTTAACGAGCACGACAACATGAATAGGCTGTTAGTGAAAGTCGGGCACCTGGTGAAAAGTGTACGCAAGAGCACAGAGGAAACCGACCAATTAGGTGTCCGCCCCACAAATGCCTGCGCCATTCGATGGAGCAGCCAGCTGCGGATGATTCAGTCGTTCATCCGGTTGTTCCAAAAAGACCCGTTATGGCAAAACAAACTCAAGTCTAATGTTGCTAACATGAATCAAGTACGGCAGCTGACGCACCTTGTCAGTGTGCTGACACCACTAGCAGATCTCACAGACAAAATGCAGAAGGAGCTGGGGAACCTGGGGATGATCCTCCCTGCTGTCACAGAAATCAAATCCCTGCTCACCCATTACACTCACGCTGCACTTCCAATGGGCATCGCTGCTTTTGCAGAAACATTGGCAAACAACGTGTAAATTCGCTATGGAATATACTATACTGATTAACATCTCATTTTAGCGTCAGTGTTAGATCCCCGTTTCAAGACAGAATGGATAATCCGAGATGAGTCTGTATGCAAAAAATTCGGGGAGATAAAGTAAGGCTGTGGTTTAAGCTAAAAGTGAAATATATGCAGATTTTGTTCCTTTTTTGGAGTGAGCGGGGGGCGATTTGAGTGGAGCGCGATGCAAACTGCGTTGAGCGCTGAGCGATAATGAGCGGACTGGCCTGATGTGGCTTTGAGCGGGGGGAGCGGGGGGGGTGAACAGCTCCGTGAGCGAGGAGCTGAGATTCTCACCGCTCCACTCCGCTCACATGCACTGGCATGGTTATTGTCGTATATGATGAATGGTGGCAATTATTGCTGTCAACACAGAGTCCGTTATGCTGCATCGTGTGAGAGGCTTTTATTAAAATCACGAGTTTTACAGCATAGGTACAGACTCGCGATGTCCGGAGAACGGCTCCCCAGATTGCTATGGCCGTTCTGACGTCTCATCGTTTAACTCCTATTTATAAACAATGCAAAAAGAGGGGTGACTCCCTCTTCTGGCCAATCACCAGTCTCCCCTTTATATAACCTTCCAAGAGTTGAATGGCTCCCTCTACTGTCCAATCCCCGTATCTTACAACCCACTTCCTGTCTGTCATATGTCATTATACTAAACATTGCCTTTTGATACTAACATAACCAACATTCCATTTCTTCATGAAAAACATTTAACAAAGGCATAATCTTCAGACACTACATTCCCCCCTTTCGAGACGAACTAAACGTCTCGAAAACAAACAGAATAGGATTATGACTAGTAACAATTTATCTTATTGAGTATCTTTAACATTAAACCAAAACCATTCTCCTCTAGAGCGTAAATTCCTTTCTATGCAATAACTGTTCATGAAGTGGGAATACATTACTATGGCATATGAAGAAATCTCTATGGAGTGTAAGAGCGAAAAACTGTCTGGCAGCCATCCATCCATATCAATCAAGACAGTAAAATTCTCTCACGGTCCCTCTGCCCCAGGCAACCACCGTCGGTACTCCAGATAACCTCATTAACCATGTAAATGCATTTGAAACTATGATGCAATTAAATACACATGTAAGCCCCTGCAAACAAAATCCTATCCATAAACATCCATTGTACGGCTGGTCAACCCATAGGACCGTACAATGAAACTCTCCCTTCCTAGCCTCTCTGTCCCTAAACATTCACGAAATAAACAAAAACATCTAAGATCCTCCCATGTATCCAATTACATCAAACATCATTCTACAAAAATTAATCCCTGAGACTATTACACAATTATGTATTACACATGTCTATATTTCATTGCCGACACTGGAATGTAGTCCACTACACTTCATCTCCCCGTAGTCTTGACTTGGATGAATGGATTGTTGATGATGAAATCAGCCACACCCTCCTTGTTTCATCTCCTCCAGTCATATTGTCCCTTCATATTGTCTTTGTTTGAGTATTTCAATCTCCACATGTTCCCCCAAATGCGTCTGGAATGAAAAGAAAAGAAACAACCAAACAGTATCTTTTGCAAAACAAACACTTTCAAATTAAACCTCAATTTCACCTAAGAATTTTAAAAAAATGATATATAAATGATGTATGAATCACATAAACCTATTCCCCCCTTTGATTCATAAATCATATCAAAATCACCCCAATATTGGAAATAAAATCGAAAAATAATCAACTCATAAAAAAAAATGATATTTATCCATCAGTTCCACGTGTCCATCTTTATCCAGATCAGGAACAGTCAACACCGGCATCTGAGTGTTGTCTCCAGGCATCACTCTCCAGCCTATCTCCATATCATAACTTTCTCAAAGGTCAGTAACAAATTACAAACATCACAGTGTTATCAAAGCTGAAACTAAAATCTGACCCATCACTGCCCCTACTGGCCTAATTGATCTTGCAACCAAGTCTTCCAAATGCATCCCTTATTTCCTTCAATGCCTCTATAACCCCAATATTATCTGAACTATCTGGACTCAAAGTATAACTAATATTTATCAATATGATCTTCCCAAATGTTACACCATACCATGAATAAAGTCCCCCCTTCTCCCTTAGACTTATTCTTCAATGATAGGCTTGAAGCCTATGACATGTCGCTTTTCATCCTATTTTGAACTCTAGTTTCAAATTGATCTGTGTTCGGTGCTACTCCTCTTTTAATAGTAAAAGCCTCATATGGAAGCTTCAACGTTGACATGTAACCAAATCCTGTCCATTCATAATGTAAGAATATATATTTTATCATCACAAACCCACCAAATATCTCTAAAATTCTCCATAGTCACATTGTCAGTCAAAAGCTAATCGTTTAACCATCAAAGTCCTGCTTTTCTTACTACCTGCTACCTAAAAAGTAACATATTTCTCATTACTACCCTTAAGGTCATGCTTATCCAAAGTTATCATATAACATCCCAATCTGATCTTCCCATAAACACACCCCTTACCTCATATGTTTTATTAGAATAAAACAACTTTTAGCCCTCAATGTTTCACCTGAATACTTCAGGATTCTGTTGTTACCTGCTTTTCCTTTCCCATTTAACAATTCCCATATTAATTCACTTAACCCAATTCCACCTAACCCTAGGCTTAAACCACTGTTCTGACAACGACATTATTCTATCTGTCAATGACTGTTGCTGATACCACAGTTATGACAAATCATAAGACTGAACCACACCTGATAGAGGCCGCGCGACCGTCTAACATGTCTGGTGCTGGAATCCTCAACAGACATGGACCTCAAGATTCCTCACTGATCTTACAGAATGAGTTAATCTATCTCTAATTTCCACAACAGAAGAACGAGCGGTACTGATCAGATACCTCTCCCTGTCTGTCATCAAAATCAAAGACCTCATCCTGTCCTCCATGATGAATCTATATTCTCTCTACTACTCTCTGTTCTCCTATTTTAACCCTATTCGTACTATCATTGACAGCACTCTCCATCCGTAACATAACCCCTGAGTCCTTCTTGCTAACCCCCTTTAATTTCAGAACAGTTGTTGTCGATGCCATACTCCCTACATCGTATCATTAATCCCTTCCAAAGTTACCATTAAAGTAGTTGATTTAGTTGCTGTATCAACCCTAATTACTTCTAGTGCAAAGGTTCCCATTATCCTCGGTGTATTATCTACTGTTGGAGTGACTCCTGTCCATTCAGTTCTACTCCTCCTGAACTCCCTCAATGACTGTGGAGGCTACAACAGACCTCAACTCTTCCATTATAAGCGTTACTTTGTGAATTACATAGCCCTTTAACCAATAATTCTTAACCGGAACAAATTCTAATGCTTGCACTAGATAAGTACACATATTCTCCCTGACCTTTCTCTGTAACATTACGCAACATAAGTGAACAGTCACTCCTAACCCTCTTCTAAACTATACCTCCTTTTACTCCTGGTCCTGATAACAATACTTATTCTCCATAATTATCTCTCCATATGGGAGAAACGTCCCCATCCTAAACCCTAATAAGTATTTTTCCCTAACATTGGTGCTGTATTGGTTCCCTTATAATCAAATGCGATATATTTATGGCTTTAATAACTGTCCATGTTGAAAGAGTTAAATTGCTTCTCCCTGTTGTTCTAATAGACTGAAGTGTTAATGTCCTTATTTACTCCTAGTTTTCCCCAGTTTTCCCCTAAGACTTTGAACTCTTTACTTGTACTTCCATCTATCACCACTAGTGTCACTTTTTCCCCAAATCTCAGTCCTATCTCTAAATCCCTGACTTTCAAACTTTTGATTACACAAAATACCCCTATAATTACCTTGATCTTCCTACTCTACAGTGTCATTCACCATTGTTCTCTCTCTCTCTTACTACTAACTTTAAAACTTAGCTTACTGTCTCAGAGTTCCTTCAACCCTAATCTACTCCTAACTTATTTTAATCTAATCTTTTCTCTCATAACATTTAAAACCTTTTCCCCTGATATTCACAAAATCCCTTACCACCAAATTTTAGAAGATGTGATTGGGAAAGTTCCCCACCTGCTTCTGACTCATTACACACAGACTTGGCAAAACGACTAACCACCTTTTAGCCTAGCCTGAAATCCCTTAGTGTAAGAATGTAACCCAGAATAATAATCACCCCTTTTAACTTTTCAGACAGATTGTCTTAATAGACAGTCTAGTGTACATCTTATTGTACAATTCAATTCTCTTCCCAACACTGCAATAACAGTATCTTCTAATATTAGTATGTCTATTTTGATTAACTGTTTTACTACCTCAAATCCCTATCCTAATTCGTTATCAATTAGTGAGATGTTTAACCTCTTTAGGCCTAAACCCAAATAAGTTTTTCCCCTATTCACTATCACTTCTAATGGCCGGTTGTTTCAACTGTTAGCTATTTTCTCTTCTCCTCTAATCGATGCTCTCAGCAATGCACCCCCCTTCCGGATCTTCTAGACACTAACAGGTGATCTTGAATTGCCCCTGTATCTTCCTTAAAAATGTTCTCTGTTCTTCCTCCTCCTCCAATTCTGTGTCTGTCCAGAAACTGGCGGTCGATATGGAACATCTGGTCCCCCCTTGGCTGGTACAATTGCCTTTGATATTGTTCAGTTGAAGCTGTAACAGTGATTGTTGATTTGGTTCACCCTGATTCTTCATCACACAAGCTTCTCTTCTCCACCAGTTGTATGATTGACTTCTCAGAGTTTTCTTCGTCCTGTTCTTTGTTGTTGACATATCAGGATTCTTCAAAAGCTTATATTTAAGTTCTGGTCCTCGAAATATCGTCTTCCATCATCTTCTTACTTTTCTTCAGCATCTTTGCCTCAATGTATTCTTCTTCTCCTCCAATTCTTGGGATTAAAAATGTTCTCCGCAGGTTTTTCTCCTTGTCTCTTCTGTATCTTCAGCGTCTCGAGCTGTTCCTCTAGCTCCCTTACCTCTCCCAAAGTCGTCTCTTCCTCCAGGCCTGATACGCCTCGGTCTATATCTCCTATTTCTTCTTTGCCAGTCATTGTAGGATAAAATCCTCTTGAACATAAAGCACCTTTAACCTCCAAATCTTCATCGCTTTCTTCATCAGAACTCGAATCTCTTGTCCCCTTCTTCGTTCAACTTTTATCAGAGATCAAATCTCGTGTATCTTCTTCGTTCTCTCTTGCCAACTTCCTTCTGATCACAGAGTCATATCCACCCATGACCTCTCTCAATCACTCTCATCTTCATCATCCTCATCTCCTTTAAGTTCCCAGACATCCCGGTTTTCCTTCCTTCTGGAGTTTTGAATTCATCTTCATCGTTATTTCTGCTCGTATTCGTCTTCATCTCTGATGCCATAATCACCATGCTAGATGATCACTGAAAGCTTCCTTCTCGTAAGGTGGGTGTCTTTTTGCTGAATCCGTATGTGAGAAAGGTGTACTAACATCTGCCATTAGTTTTCTCCTAACACATCAACCCTTTTATATTCCTTTATTGTGAACTATCTTATTTTAGACTGTATAGCCTAAGACTTCCCCCCTTAAATTATTAATATAACCCTAACAACCCCCAAATTTTTTATTTATTTTTTCCCTCCCCAAAAAATCAAATAAAATCAAATATGAATATTAAAAAATTCAATTAATGCCTTATTCAAAAACCCTTTAATTAAAAATAAAAACCAATTAAAAACTCAATTAAAAATTATGAATAATTTAAAAAACCAATTTTTTATTCCTATATCCACCAATTTATCAATTAGTGTTGGCTATCTAAACCACAAACCCATCAACTGCAAGTAAATGCAAGTTAGTCATCTTCAGACTAAAAATACCCATAACAAAGCCTCTAACCTTACAAACCCTTCAATACTACTCCATTCCCATACCCCTTGCTGCTATCAGCTCTAATTATCTTAAATTTACAGAGAATGTCAGTCTTCGATTCCCAACATCTTAATCAACCCCAGTGATACCACAGAGCTCCCAAATGCCATTTTTAATGAAATAGTATTTGCCAGCCTATGTAAAAATCGTCATAACATCACATATTTTGTTTGGATGATTTTTTGTACTAGCCTATCTGATCCCTTTGTTGGGCCCCCCACCCCTTTTACGGGGGGGGGGACGCACAAAGTCAGCCCCCCCTCTCTCTCCTCCCCTCGTTCCAGTTCCTCTCATATTTCAAAAAAAAAGACACAGACAAGTTTCAGATTAATGCAATCACTGAGATTTCCAAACCCTTCAAAATTCGTTCGTTTTAAATTATTTTACTCTAAGGTAAATCAGAACCCAAATAGATCGACCCCAAAAACCCTTTTATTTTAAAACCGTCCCTTTTAAATTTTTTCACTTTATTATTCTTCGCCCAAATATATTTTTAATTTTTTCAATTCAATAGGGGGCACACCCCAAAATTTTATCCCTTTAACCAATCTTTTTTAAAAAGAAAACTGTGCTAAAATCTCTTGTCGGGTTGGTTTTTCCCTCTCCCCGCAGCCCCCCGAGGGACCTTTAACCCCCCAAAACCAAACCCTTTTGTTTTGTAGGCTAGCGCCCCATGTGTAGTTTTTTGCCCCGTAAAATCAAAAAGCATGCGCACATCATTCAAACCCATGTTTCCCCACAACGAAAAAGCATTCGCTACAGGTCACATTTTTTTACCCTTTTAACCCCCCAATTACAAAATAAAAGAGTACAAATTTGGGGGGGAAATTCAGTTCCCACCCCTACAAACAAATTTAAAAGGCTTGAACCAAACGCAGGGACCCCTAAGGTTAAAGTTATCATGTAGCACGCAACCAATTTGCCCTTTAGGGAATTAGCCCCTTACATTTCCTTAGTAACTGCGGCCTTTTCCAAAAATTTAACCCAAAAAGCCGCATTTCTCTTTAATTGATTTTCTGTTTCGGTTTGCCCTAAAAAATTCGCCGGGGTATGGGGTATTTCAGTGAGCGATCCCCCCCCCCCGCAACATCCCTCGAACAGAAGTTGGGGTAAGCCATCCCCCAAAAAAGGGCCCACCAACCCCCAGTCCCAGGGCTGGGAAACCGAACAATCCAATGCATTCCCGGATTTTTGGGCCCCCCCTGGTGGGCGCCCCGTTCGTACGAAAGGGGTTACCCAAACCTGCAAAGCTCTTTAAAAGGAAAGCGATATCTGAATTTTCCAAAACCCTTGTCCCCGTTACCCAAAAAAAAAAATGATCCTACCGTTTTCCTAAATTTGTCTTGCCCATAGTTTCCCAAAGAATTAAAAAAATTTCTCTAAATCCCCATTGCCATCCGTTACCAATGAAAAATAAACTTATCACTCAAAAAATCATTGTCTAAGTTACCCAAAGAAATAAAAATTTTACAGGGTCCAAATGAACCCGCAACAACGCCACCCAGGCCCGGGCGAAGGAAAAATCTTTAAATGTAAACAAGTCATATCCAATCTAAAAAAAACTCCGAAAAGGGGGGGAACCCCTCACCCTTTTTTTGGCCATGCTTCAGAGAGAGTTAGGGCCCCGGGGTTTTAATGAAAAAGGAAGAGACGCAAACCCCGCCCCACTTGGGCGCCCTTAGGGTATATGTGAATGGTGGGAAAATTTTTGCTGGGCAACCCCAGAGTCCCTTTTGCTGCACGGTGAGAGGCCTTTTTTTAAAATCACGGGTTTTACGCATAGGTACAGATCGCATGTCCGGGGAAGGCTCCCCAGATTTATGGAGTTTGAAATCTCATGTTTTAACCCCATTTATAAAACAATGAAAAGGGGGGTGGGTCCCTTTTGGCCAATCACCCGTCTCCCCTTTATATAACCCAAAAGTTGGGGGCTCCCCCCCTGTCCCAAACCCCCTATTTTACAAACCCCCTTTGTCGTCATAGTCATTATACTAAAAAAATTTCCTTTTGATACTAAAAGAACCAAAAATTCCATTTTTCATGAAAAACATTTAACCAAAAAGGGATAACTTAAGGGAAAACATTATTATTGGCTTGACCGTGGGCCTTTCCCCTTTGGGTGATTTTCATCACCCAGATTAAAATCTGTACAATGAATTTACCACATGTTGAGTGGGCCCGTATCGTTTTGTGTATTTGGGACTGTTTTTTTAGGCTGTCACCTTTTATTTTTAGGGTTTAAAAAAAAAGAAAGAATATTGAAATGCGTTTTGGGGATTCCCCTTTTTCAAGGTTTCTAAGTTGGGGGCCCGGAAAAAATGTTTGATAAACCCAAAAGTTGGGCGTGGGCCAAAAAGGTTTGGGGAAAACCCCCCATTATTGGAAAGGGGGTTTAACTGCCTCTCGGGGTTTTAAACCCTTTTCCAAAAACAGGGGTAAAACGCTTTTATTGTGGAGGGTTTATAAACCAAAGAAACGGTTTTTTTATAATTTTGCGGCGTTTGGGGGAAAACAATTTAACAAGGCAAAGCGATGTTTCTAAATGGGGAAAAAGCGGAACCCCTTCTTTTTTTTTACATTACAAATACTAATTCTGTTGTTTCTGCGTTTAAATTTTTTATTTCTTTCAAAAGGAATTTGGGCATGTTTATCTCGGGGTTTTTTTTCTTTTTCCTTTTTTCCCCCTGTAAAAATATTTTTGGGGTTAAAAAAATATAGCACTGAAATAATGTTTTTCCCTTAGTACTTCCTGCCCAGACCAGCTGAAGGGGGACTCAGTGGGGCACCACATCAGTGTGTTAGTGGAGCCCGCCAAACCCGGATTGGACCAAAACCCAAAAAACATTAAAACCCGTCTCCTACGCGGGCCAGGGACCGAAAACCCCAATCAATTAAAAAATCTTTACACAGTCACTCTTTGACCCGAAACCCGGTACTTTAATTTCTCGTCATGTCTGCACTATGCTTTGGGAAAAGGAAAAAACAAAATCAAAATGGTGTTAACAACCCTCACAAAAACAAATAAGGAAGGCTGTAGTAAAAAATTAGGGTTTTTGTGAACATTAAATAATTAATTTTACTTTATTAAAGTTGACGGGTTTTCAAAATTAACTCTTGTAAAAAGAAATAATTCCCTAAAGGATGGGCAGCTGGGATGTAAAGGACAGTATTTACCAACAATTAGTTTTTTAAAAAAATAAAGGGAAAAATTTTTGCACGCCTTTTTCAAAACTTTGGGCCCCTTCCTTTTGGGATAACAGTGGGGCAGCGGTATAAGGCAATGCATTCAGTGCTTGAGGTTCACTCCCGACCCCTGGTTCGATTTCCCGGTGGATCACAACCCGGGCTGATTTGGAAATCCCATAGAGGGGCACAATTGGCCAGCATCGGGCCCGGGTTTTGGGCCGGGGTAGGCCGGCCAAAAAATAATAAAAAAGAATTTGTTTTTTAAGGGGCTTGGGGCCAGTTAAATAAAGGTAATAAAAAAAAATTTGACTTTTTCTATTTGGGTTTTAAGAGATTTAAGAACAATTGCGAAGGGGTTTTTGACAATTCCCCCATATATTTAAATTTTTTTTTACATTCAACGGGGATTTTGGACTTTCCCTTTTTTCAAATTCAAACCAAAGGTTTTTAATGAGGTTTAAGTAAGTCCGGAGGGAAAAAGAAAGGGCCCTTGCAAAATGTGGATTTTGAGGGGAATTACCCTTTTTATTTTGAGGGGTGTTGGGGTTAATTTTCTTTGGAAGATCCCTTTTAGGGAAAATTTCAGCCCCTAGTAGTAGATACAGTTTAATAACTACAAGGAAACCCTCACAGGGGGGTTAGTGAGCAGGTTGAAATTTACCCCGATTTTTTTAGCCATCACAATGCAGGGAAATGAGCAGTTTAAATACAGACTGGACCCCTCACCCTGAAAGGGGATACTACGGGCTGGGGCCAACCAAATGCCCTGTTAGTGAGCATGAATAAAGAATGGAGAAACCCCCTGCAAAGTTAGTGAGCAGTGATTTTCTACAGACTGGAGCCATCACACTGCATGTTTGTGGCATGAGAAGGGGCAGCGTATGTCAGATAGTTTGGGGAAAATGGGATAGGCTCACACCAGTGAAGGCGGGTTTCCAAGGAGCCCAAACACCTCAATGGGGGGGCAAAAACTAAGAAGGGCCCCGCCTAACCCCTTTGCTTTTGGGAAAATCTGCCCCGTCCCAGAGAGGCTAAACGGGGGAACCTGGAAGGGGTGAAGGGAAAAAGGAACCCCCCAGACGGAAACGATGAGGAGGGGGTTGGGCCCTGGGGCCTGCTGGTCCCTGAGTATGCCACATCAAGAAAAGGGAAACATTTCCAAAGGGGGTTTGTAAACCACCCTGACGCCCCCTTTTCTGGGGTCTTTTATCTGAGGGCCCGGGCTAAGACCCCATTGAGGGCCCCATTTGGCCGGGCTGGGTCAAGGGGGCCAAAAATGCCCAAAAGTTATGTTTACGGGCCCTTCCCCGACGTCCGTGTGGGAAACTGGAGCTAAAGGGCCCCAGCACTTTTTATACTGGCCGGTACAAAGGGCCCGATGCTAAAACAGGGCTGGGTATTTTCATTCATGTTTATTTTCATGAGTTGACTGATAAATTTTTTACACAGTGGAGGCTCTTTGGAATTTAAAAAAATTTTTTTAAAAATTAAAATTTAAATTTTCGTCACAAAAATTTATTAAAAAACATTGTTTGGGAAAGAAGGTCTACCGTTCCTAAAATAGGGCCCCCTTTAGGGTAGCCCATGGTTTTAGCTGGATGACAGTAGCTTCTGTCCTCCTTTGGTAAATTTACTTTAATACAAACCCAGGGGCTCAAAGTTCTCATCCCCTTCCAAGGGGGGGGCTTTACACAGTAAAAATAATTTAACCGGGGGGGAGTTTCAAAATTCTAATTTTTTTAAGTGGAAGTTTGGGGGAGTTTTTATTGGGTGGTTTAGTTTTTAAAAAATTATAATTTTTGAGGGGAAATTTGGGAGAGTTATTTTTTTTGGTAAAGGGGGGCCCTGCCCCTCCTTTCCAGATGTTTTGTTCATTTAAATTCGATTAAAAAAAACCACGCACATCCATTCAAGCCCATGCTTACCACACAACAGAACAATAGCATTACGCTACAGCGTCACTATTTTATACCTTATACTCACACAATTACACATAACAGAGCTCACATTTGCGTAGAACTTTCAGTTCCACCACATACAAACAAGTTTAAGAGGCTTGAATCCATCGCAGTGGACCTCTAAGGTTAAAGTTATCATGTAGCACGCAACACAATTAGCATTTAGCAATTAGCCGTTAGCATTAGCCTTTAGCTAACTGCGGCCTACAACATGTAACAAACGCCGCATTGCGTCTTTAATTGATTACTGTTTCGTTAGCCCTAAATATATTCTGCCGTGGGTATGGCTATTTCAGTGAGCGATCCCCCCCAATGCAACTATCCCGTCGAACAGAAGTTGAGTAAGCCATCCCCAAGAAATGTCCCACCAACCCCCAGTCCCAGACTGAACCTGAACACTCCTAATGCATGTCCAGGATTTTGGCCCACCCTGGTGGTCGCCCCGTTCGTCACGAGGGCTTATCTAAACCTGCAATGCTCTAAAGAATGCGCATATCTGAATTTACCAACCATTGTCACCCGTTACCAATGAAATATAAATGTCTCCTACCGTTTTCCTAAATTTGTCATTGCCCATAGTTACCAATGAAATATAAATTTATGCTCTAAATCCTCATTGCCATCCGTTACCAATGAAATATAAACTTATCACTCTAAATTATCATTGTCTATAGTTACCAATGAAATAACATTTTAGCAGACTCCAGTCGACCAGCAACAACGCCACCGAGGCCAGGTCGAAATGGAACATCTCTTCAGTGTACACAAGTCATATCCAATCTAACAAACTCCGAAGCGGTAAGAACACTCACCCTTTTTTTCGGCCATGCTTCAGAGAGAGTTAGGCCGGCGGTTGACTGAAACAAGGAAGAGACGCAAACCCAGCCCCACGTTGGGCGCCATTATGTCGTATATGATGAATGGTGGCAATTATTGCTGTCAACACAGAGTCCGTTATGCTGCATCGTGTGAGAGGCTTTTATTAAAATCACGAGTTTTACAGCATAGGTACAGACTCGCGATGTCCGGAGAACGGCTCCCCAGATTGCTATGGCCGTTCTGACGTCTCATCGTTTAACTCCTATTTATAAACAATGCAAAAAGAGGGGTGACTCCCTCTTCTGGCCAATCACCAGTCTCCCCTTTATATAACCTTCCAAGAGTTGAATGGCTCCCTCTACTGTCCAATCCCCGTATCTTACAACCCACTTCCTGTCTGTCATATGTCATTATACTAAACATTGCCTTTTGATACTAACATAACCAACATTCCATTTCTTCATGAAAAACATTTAACAAAGGCATAATCTTCAGACACTACATTATTATTGGCATTGACCGTGACCTTTCCCCTTTGATGATGTCATCACCCAGAGTCAGATCTGTACAATGCGACTCTACCACATGTTGAGTGGGCTGTATCGTTTTGCTGTATTTGTACTGTTTGTACATGGCTGTACACCTTTTATTTCTTAGGTTGAAACTAAAGGAAAGTAATATTGAAATGCGTGTGGGCATTCCTTGTCAAGTTACTATAGTTGGGGTCCCGAGAATTGTTTGATATCAAAATGTGGTCGTGGGCCAAAAAGGTTTGGGAACCCCTGCATTACAGTATGGAAAGGAGTTGAACTGCCTCTGCTTGGTTTAACCTTATCCAAAGTACAGTGTAAAACGCTTATTATTGTGGAGTATTTATAATCCAAAGAAACGTTTAATTTATATATTTTGCGGCGTGGCGGAAACAATTGAACAACGGCAAAGCGATGTTGCTAAATGAATATAGCGGAAACACTTCATTTTTGTTACATTACAAATACTACTTCTGTTGTGACTTCTGCGTTTAATTTATTTATTTCTTTCAAAAGGAATTGCAGACATGTTTATCTCTGGTTTTATTCTACTTTTCCTCCTGTAATATATTTCTGGAGTTAAACTATAGCACTGACAATAATGTATTTTCCCTTAGTACTTCCTGCTCCAGACCAGCTGAATGTTGACTCAGTGGACACCACATCAGCTGCTGTTAGCTGGAGCCAGCCACCAGGATTGGACCAAACCCAACATCATTACCAGATCTCCTACCGCTGTCCAGGGACAGAACCACACATCACTACCACATCTTCACACAGCATCACTCTCTCTGACCTGAAACCTGGTACTGAATACTCTGTCACTGTCTGCACTATGCTGGAAAATGGAAAGCAAAGTCAACTGGTGTTAACAACCCTCACAACAACAAGTAAGGAAGTACTGTAGTAAAGTATTAGGTTTTGTGTAGAACATTAATATATTATTGTACTTTATTAAACGTTGACTAGTTATCAAAATTACTCTAATGTAAATGAACTAATCATAATGGATGTGTCAGCATGGGATGTAAAGGTACAGTATCTTACCAACAATTAGATTTTTTAAAAAGATAAGTGCAAAAATTATCTGCACGCCTGTTTTCAATACTTTGTGCACCCTCTCCTTGTGAGGATAACAGTGGCGCAGCGGTCTAAGGCACTGCATCTCAGTGCTTGAGGCTTCACTACAGACCCCCTGGTTCGATTCCAGGCTGTATCACAACCGGACGTGATTTGGAGTCCCATAGAGCGGCGCACAATTGGCCCAGCATCGTCCGGGTTTGGCCGGTGTAGGCCGGCCAAACAATAATAAATAAGAATTTGTTCTTAACTGACTTGCCTAGTTAAATAAAGGTAATAAAAAATTAGCCTTTTTCTATTATGTTTAATGAGATTGAAGAACACATTGCGAAGGATCTTAGACCATTCCTCCATATATAATTTTTTTTTCACATTCATTCTGCGATTATGGACTGCCCTCTTCAATTCAAACCACAGGTTTTCAATGAGGTTCAAGTAAGTCCGGAGAAAGAGATGGCCATTGCAAAATGTGGATTTTGAGGGCAATTACCATTTTGATTTTGATGTGTGCTTGGGTTCATTGTCTTGCTGGAAGATCCATTTGCAGGGAAGTTTCAGCCCCCTAGTAGTAGATACAGTCAATACTACTACAGACTGGAGCCATCACACTGCATGTTAGTGAGCAGTGATACTACAGACTGGAGCCATCACACTGCATGTTAGTGAGCAGTGATACTACAGACTGGATCCATCACCCTGCATGTAGTGATACTACAGACTGGAGCCAATCCACTGCATGTTAGTGAGCAGTGATACTACAGACTGGAGCCATCACACTGCATGTTAGTGAGCAGTGATACTACAGACTGGAGCCATCACACTGCATGTTAGTGAGCAGTGAGAAGGAGCAGCTGTATGTCAGATAGTTGGAGACCACCTGGGATATGGCTCACACCAGTGAAGGCGCTACCAAGGAGCAGAGCACCTCACTGGACTGGCATAAACTAAGAAGGCCACGCCTAACCTCCTTCTGCTTTAGGGAAGTCTGCCACGTCCGAGAGCAGAGCTCAGCGGAGAACCTGGAAGACTGAATGAATAAGGAACCCCTCAGACGGCAGCGATGAGGAGGGGTCTGGCCGTGGAGCCTGCTGCTGTCCGTGAGTACTGCCACATCAAGAACGTGAACTACATGCAATGTGGGTTTGTAATCCACCCTGACGCCCTTTGGCTGGGGTCTTCATCTGACGGGCTGGTCTACGACCCCATTGAGAGCCCACCATTTGGCCGACTGGATCAAGTGACCAAACTGCAAGAGTTATGTTTACTGCCTCTACCTGACGCTCCAGTGTGGCAATCTGGAGCTAAAGCCACAGCACTTCTACTACTGGCAGGTACAAGGCCAGATGCTAATAACAGGGCTGGAGTATTTTCATTCATGTTCATTCATCATTGATGTTGACTGATAAATCTTGTTACACCAGTGGAGGCTCTTTGAATTGAAAAATTGTTAAACATTAAATTTAGTTATCCGTCACCAAATAATTGATTAAAACACATTGTTTTGCAATGAAGGTCTACAGTATCCTCAGTAGCCCTCTGTAGGGTAGCACCATGGTGTAGCTGGATGACAGCTAGCTTCTGTCCTCCTCTTGGTACATTGACTTCAATACAAAACCTAGGAGGCTCATGTTCTCATCCCCTTCCATAGACTTACACAGTAAACTACATTGAACCGCTGTAGTTTACAACAATTCTAATTTCTTAAGTGGAAGTTGGGAGAGTTTTATTCGGGTGGTTCAGTTAAACAATTATAATTTCTGAGGTGGAAGTTGGGAGAGTTATATTTTTTTGGTAAGGGAGGCCCTGCTCTCTCCTTTCCCAGATGTTTAGTTCATTTCATTCCGATCTCCTCTGCATTATTGTAGCCATCTGCTACAGCCTGTCAACTATGCCTCTGCCTATCCCTGTTCTCTCCTCTCTGCACAGGCTACACAAACGCCTCACACCGC